TGGCTGCACAACCAGCAATGGCAAAGGTTGTGGTGCAGTGACAGTGAATTCACATTAAATTCGGAAACGAGAATCGAAAATCGACTTTACACCACAGCACACCCGCAAGTGGAGGGAATTTGATCTCAGTTGTCACAAAGAAGTAGAAAGAACACCACAACCGCCGTCCCAACCAGACGAGGGTCACGAAAAGTAAGACCACAACCAACTCCGCCCAGACTCTCGTCATTTGCGTAGCGAAGTAACAAATTGCAAGAAAAGGTGCCGAAAGCGGGAAAGTAAGGCCGTGGAAGTGGGAGAAATCTGGTGTTGCTCTGGCATCGTCCAAATATTGACGAGCTGTACGTTGATCTTTCCAACGACCTTGTATCATGACAAAATCAAGGGCTTTATGGAACTAGGTGAAGGGAGGTCAACTCGAAGAAGCCGGCAAGCCTGCAAAGCAAGTATGGAAGTAAGTAAGAGAATACGGCCAAACTCGGACATTGCCGGGAAGCTGCGACAGAAAGAAGGAGGTAAGAAGAAAGAAATACTGATCCGAATGGGCAACAAACTGTTGGAACTGCTTAGAGGATTTCGTAAAACCCAGGCGCAGCACTACCGAAAAAGTCGTTTGATCCGAAGTGATATCAGAACAAGACAAGGTCAAAGTCTCCCCAATGCGCAAAAAGAAGACGAAGCTGAGGAGAAGAGTAAGACCCAGTGACTACCAGTGTTCTTGAACACAAAGTCCAATGAAACCTTGAACAATATTCCATGTAATCGGCGTAGCACGTTGTGGGGTATATGTTCGCGTGTCCAGTTTGTATACCATTGCTGAGCCGTTTGGAGTTCTTTACGACAACAAGGGTATAGCCGCTCAAGGCCACTGAGAACCCAGCCTGCTCTTGAATTTGATTCCCCTTCCTGGTAAAGAAGGTTGATATATTCAGCCAATTGGAAGTCAAGGTCAAAGAAAGTTTGGGGCAACCCAAGCGCACATGCAACAAGGTGGTCCAGAAAAAGTGAAACTTCCCTCTGTTTAAAGGTGGATCGTTCGCCCTGCAATGCCCAAGTCTCGCAAGTGTTTTGGACCTCTCGGCATGGTCAGCGTTCAAACCGCCGACTAGGAGCGTCGGCGAAATTCCATGTTGAAATTGTCCACGTGTCACAAGTGAGTGGGCATTGCCTGTGACATCAGGATCAGGGCGTTGATCCGGCGTAAGAGTCGGTTCAGGCGAAGGGACCTGCTTCGATCCTTCGAGGTGGTGAAAAAGCCAACCTGGCTGTGACATTGAAGAACCGGGTGCCAAGCTGCGCCAGGTCGCGCATCCTGCGACGAAATCCAACCAGGAAAGCTGAAACCTCTAGCGCATTGATGTGCTGTGGATGCTTCCAAGGGAACGACAGCCGGGTTTTCCATTGCCACTTGAAGGCTGGGTACGGCACCAACAAGGCTTGCGAGCCATCCTCGGGCGTGGCCTCGAACCGGACCTCAGTCCCACGAACGCAGATTTCCCGCAACAGCCCTCGGAGGTGGCGCCTTTCATGTCCCGGCCGCATTGTGCGCAGGACACGCAGGACCTCATCTGCGGCTGTGTCTGCAATATCTTGACGTTGAAACCCGCGCGTCGATCGTCTAAGTGCGGCCAAAATGGCCTCCTTCGGGTCCCAGCCCAGGTTGCCATGCGGGACACTTGTTCGCTTCTGAAAAGCCTTCTTGAGCCCCGCGGCGTATGCTTGGCAGAGTCCCCAAGTGTACTCAGCTTCGATGGCGGTGTCGAAGCGCAACACTCCTTCCTCATCATGCACCTCATAAGGAAGGAGGCCTTCATGGCCAGGGCAGGTATAGGTCGATGCAGTGCTGTATGCAACTCGTCCACTTCGTCCTAGCACCGCCGTAGCTGCCGAGAAATAGGTGTGGAACACATCATCATCATCATCATCATCGTCATCATCGTCATCGGAGTGGACCAAAGATGCGAGCTATACGGGCGCTCCAGGACGGCAAGTCTGTCGTTGTCAAACGCGGTCTTCAAGCCACGCAGCGAACGCTTGGCCATGGCGTTCCCGCGTCTCACTTGCACTTGCTCTGCCGGGCTCAAATGGTCCAGTCCCCACGGTTTTAGTTCGCTTCTCAGAGCACGAGGTCCAGTCAACCACCGTCCGCTCGTTGCGCGAATCGGGCGGCCGCGTGCCATGGAGAATGTCTTGCGCTCAGGTCCATAGCGTTCACATACCAGCCCAGGCGCACTCTCGTAGGAGTCTAGCCTCTGCTTCCCTTCGGCAGTTGAATAGTCCCAAGGATCATCTGCCACCAGTAGGTCCAAAGGTGGCTGGACTCCAATTCCAGCCAGCGCCACTGCCTTCGTCAGTGGGAAGTTCGGTCCACTGAACCTCTCTCCGACGAGGGGACAGGCAAACATGTGTCGGGCACACCCGTGCTCTCGGTGCTCTATGGCGCATCGTACGGAGCAGGTCACTCCTCCACATACTGCTTTCTTCCGAACGAGTCGGGATCACGCCCACAATTATGGCATTTCCCTTCGAAAATCGCCAGGGGCCCATGAGGGTCTGGCCCTGGTTTGAAGGCAGATCTCAGGCGAGATTTTGGCCTTCAGATTTACCTGAGGAAGAGGAGATTGGATCATTAGGCACATGATCTCGTCAATCACCTCTTCAGTAGGTGCAATCGGGCTCTTCTTCGCTCTCTCAATTGCATCAAACACATTGGAAATCCCGGAGAATAGCGAACTCTTGAAGGTTTCCATGAAAGCCGTTTTGCCAGTCCAGTGCCTCAGATAGAATTCTGTCCATCGATGACGTGATAGAAGTGCCAGGCTTAGCTCAATGTATGCCCTTAAGCTATCTTCAGTACTCCACGACGCCCATCAAGTTCGCCGCCCTGTGCTTGCGCGAAAATCTGACAGCAAATCCCGTGTCAACGCGCAAATACCCAGGCTGACTCGCAAGCTCACCACAGCATGCCTCATGGAGTATGAGGCCTGATACGCATCCATGCACATAGAACAAAAACTGTCAAAAAAGACAGAGGTATTTACTTTACCGCAACATGAAAATTACAGGGCGAAGGCATGAATCAGCTGCTTGCCTAGATTTCGAGGCAGTCCAGCTCGATACAGGCCTCAATCAACTGAGCATGATGCGGCGAGAGCTCAGCTCCTTCCTTTTGCAGCTCCATGTCCAGACACTTGACAACGTGGATCTCGTCGAAATTGTCCAGATACACGATCGTGTAAATCTGCTCTTCCGGTAGCCGTCTGTGCTTCTAAATGGAGTATTGGCGTGGAATCTTCGCCCGCTCAAACACCAATGTTCTTACAGCCTCCTGGACCAATGCCACTGCCGCGCCACCCCATTGGTACCACACTCAATGCCGGACGATCAATGTTCCCGGTGGCATTCCAAAGGCTGCCGAATCAACCTTCTTGCTGTAGGCCAGATAAGGGAGCCAGTTGTCGGGCATAGAGAAGATATTGAATTCC